TGTGTATTTAACTTGGCAACTATAATTAGTGTATAAAGGACTACATATAAGGCTGCTGACATTTTGGACTAGGATCAAGAAAATGTTTCCTTGAAGTAGAAACTATTAAGAATAGTTAATATTGACTTTCTACAGAAGTATCTGATTTTAAGATGCGGTTTATAAAATGTGGTACTTAATTAAGGGCCTGGGGTATCTGTCAAGTTAGGAAAATCAAAATATTATTGAAGATCAATTAATGTGCTTAAGGTATCCTTAGGAAGAATGGCTAGAACGTAAAATGATACAAAAGAAAAGCTGTACAGCATTGCAACACTGGACAGTTGGTCAGTGTTTAGCACAGTGTAGGAGGTGACAGGAGGTGAGAGATGCTGTTTCATGGTTGTTAGAATGGTGCTTTATTCTGGGATTATAGTCATGTAGACGTCTTTATATTTAAGTTAACTACATCTTAAAATTTTTTTAATTTCAGGTTTAGAAAAAGTAGCTTGTAGACACAGCAACTAGTTTGCAGGGCTGCTGCACACTCAGACTGTCTGCATTATGCAGTTCTTTGTAATGCTTTGGCTCTGTCCAGATTCATTGATATTGAAACAGAAACACCCTGGAAGGTGACATCTGATTTATTAATCAGTTCGATGAGATTGGTTGGTATAATTCAGTTATTGAGCCTTATCTGCTTCAGCTTACGCTGAATTTTTGGACCTAAAAACCAAGAACCAAATTCAGAGTTGAGCCCCCACCCATCAACTCATAGGTAATGTTTTCCTGTGAGTTCCTTTTAGGCAGCTGATTGACATTCATTTTGCCACTTTTAGCTAAATAGTAATTACTTGGTAATGCTTTCTGTATTAGTTATCTATTGCTGTATAACAGATTACCCCAAAACTTAGTGGCTGAAAACAATCAACATTTATTGTCTTCCCTCCCTCCTTCCCTCCCTCCCTCCCTCCCTTCTATCCTTGTCAAGAATTCAGAAGCAGTTTAGCAGGTGCTTCTGGTTCAGGGTGTCTCGGACTCTGCTGAGGGAGGATCCACGTCCAGGCTCACTCATGCGGTTGTCAGCAGGCCTTAGGACACCTGCTTCCAAGTGACTCGTGCAGCTGTTGTCAAGCCTCAGGACTCTTGCTGTCGGCCAGAGGCATCAGTTTCTTGTCTGTGTGGGCCTCTCCCTGGGACTGCTCACAGTATGGCAGCTTAGCAAGTTATTTGGGTGAAAGTCCCCAAAATGGGAGCCACAGTCTTTATAATTTAGTTTTGGGAGTAACATGCATTGTTTCTGTTCCTTAGAAATAAGTCGCTAAATCCAGCCCATCCTCAGAGGGAGGAAATAATAGAAGAGCAGGCAGATTAGGATAGGAGGTGGGGTCATTGTGGACCATCTTAAAGGCTGCCCAGCACACTATCCTTTACAGTTTAAAACTTTGTGTTATTATTTCAGAATTCTTTCTTGAAAGGGAAGCTTATAGGGGAAACCCCAAATATACAAGAAATAAATGGGAAGCTTTTCTGTCCAGAGACAGAAAAGGGAACTAGGGTACCTGCTAGCATCCTTCTCCCTCATCTTTTCCAAACAGTTTGAATATTAGTACCTTTACCATCTAATAAATGTCAGACAAGAACATGAATATATACTATTTTTCTTAAATTTCTTTTTAGAATTTATCAAGAGTTGCAGTTCTCAATATCTAGCTTATAAAAATCAAATGTTGGAACATGGAAAACGATTTGCGTAAATGTTTCTGGCAACTTTTTAAGTCTAAGTAGCTCCCGTTGGTAAAGTGAACCTAATGTAATGGCTGATTTTGTTGTACTAGCAGATGTAATTTATATATTGGTAGGATAATGATAGTGATTTACTTAGTAACCACTGTCCAGAATGTTTTCCTAACTGTTTCCAAATTACATGTATTTTTAAAAATTACAGTAAGTGTGTTTGCAATTCAATTTTAATATTAAAGTATTCTTGTAGCTCTTTCTTGCTGCACATCATGATTCCTAATGAATACCATAAATTACTTATTTTCTTTATCTTGCAATATAAAGAATGTAGTCTCAAAATAATAGTACGATCATCCCTTGATACCCACAGGGAATTGGTTCTGGGACTCTCTTGGATACCAGATCCCAAAGATGCCCAAGTCCGTTATGTAAAATGGTGTAGGAGTTGTACAGAAACCTACGCACGTCCTTATGTATACTGTAAGTCATCTCTAGGTTATTTATGACACCTAATACAATATAAATGCTGTGTAAATAGGTGCTAGCATGGGAAATTCATGTTTTGCTTTTTGGAACTCTCTGAAATTTTTTTTCTGAATATTTTTGAGTCATAATTGGTTGAATCTGCAGGTGTGGAACCCCCAAATACAGAGAGCCAACTGTACCAAAATTAATACAAATGATAAATCTCCAAATTTAGAATTTTTAATAGTTCTTTAAAGATGTATAAAATCATTTGAAAACAGTTCCATTTCTGGGTGATTATGTTTATAGTTTGATATGCAGTTAGATTCCAGGCATTGTTTTTAAAATGCTTTATTGATAAGAACTTCGTTAATCCTTACAGCTGTCTGGGAAGTAGGTTCTGCTATTATCCCTATTTTACAGATAAATAACAGTTTTTTCCATCTTGATTGTAGGTTAATTTACATTAACAATAAAATAGTATTGTTTTGTTTGTTTCTTATGGGTTCATGTAGAAGTAGTGGGTAAAACTCAGGGAAAGGAGAATTTGATTCAGAAATGGATTTTTTGATAAGCTGTTTAGTGAGCAAAAAAAGAGGACAGTTTCTGTAAATAACATTATTTAATAAGTACATTTATAATTCCCTTTTGACCTTACTTTGGTTAATTGAGGTACACACATTTCCCCCATATTTATATATGAACCGTCAATAATGTCACTTAAATATGTGTATATAATATTAAATTTTATTATATTATACATTAGAATTTAACATCTTAATTGAGAATTAAAAAATAGTGTACTTGGAATCATAAAAATGAGTTGTAATTTAAGTTGCTTCCAAACTTAATATACTGTCCAAACCAATACATAGCATTAAGTGAAGGTTAGCTAAGTCACTTTTTTTCCTGAATGTTGTTTTCATAAGTTCAGATTGTTTTTATGGAGTAGATTCTCATCAGTGAACTGCTTGATTTGGTTCTTGATTGCTAAGGAGTAACTTTTTGTGGATGGGCGTTATAATTATTAGAGCTTACAAAGGGTACTTTTGAGTAGAGTATCCTAATTTCTGGAATTTCTTTTCTAAGGTGTTCCGATAAAATCCATCTTAGTTGAGCTTATGGCATAATAACAACAAACAGTTTTCAGGGCTGGTCTCTTAAGTTACCTTTTTGGTTACCTTAAAATCTTCAAGATATTTTAATTCTCTTAAATTATTTTTTAAAATGCAGTTGATTTTGTTTTAAATTCATAAGATCTGAGTCTAAATGGAGACTGCATGTGTTGCTACAAATAAAAATTGGAAACTATTACTTAGTTCTTAATGACGTCTTTTATACTAGCTTAAATCGTGAAGAAAAAATATTTGGATTATTGCTTCTGTATGTATTTCATCAATCCAAACACATAAGACCTTCATGCCGTGTACTTGCTCACTCTTCAGGGAACTAGGAATGTAGTGAACTAGGAAAGTTAACTGGATGACCCTTTTGGCATTTATGTGTATTACATTATAAACAGGTCTGTGCAGTGCTCCTGTTTGCATGACTGAGTCATTTAAAAACTAATGCATTAAGTATTACTGTCTTTTAAAACTCAGATTTATATAAAAATGGATGTAATTTATCCAAGACAATTTGTATCTTAAAATTAAGTTGTAATCTAGCAAAAATCTTAACATGGTACTGTCAACCTGTATTAAATACAAACATTACCTCATAACAAGGTTGAAATTTTCACTAGAATTATATTTTCAACTTGTTTTTGTTGAATAATGTTTTATACATCATTTTATCCTATTTGCTCAAAACAAAAGGAAAACTATACATTATCTTTAATTTTTTCCATAGAATGAAGAACCATGATACCATAGGTTTCTTGAAGGTATAGGGTAATTACTAAATAGAAGCATGATGGTAAAAGGAGGAAACATATCTGTGTATCTCCATCAGGGACTAGTGTTTGCAGTCATCACTGCTATAACACATTACAGTGAACGTGTACCTGATTAATGTGAATTGAGTTAAAGGTAAAGGATGTCTTCATGTGAACCTGAAGATTAAGTTCTGTTGAGGAGTCCTTTCTTTTGTTAGAAATCATTCTTTTGTTTGTTTTTTTTAATGACAGATCCAATTTTAAAAGTATAACAGTTAATCAAAAGTATTACTATACTATGTAGTATACATTAAGATCAGCATTATTATTTTTCAGTGGCCTGGCATACTTAATATATGTATATGTCTATGTGGTTGGTTTGTTGTAGGTGACAAATGGTTATTTTTAAAGATTTATTCAGTGATGAGTGGGAAATGCATTGATTTTTTTTTATCTGAAGTCGTACACATTGTTAATCCACTGTGGTGGCCTCTACACCAAAATTTAGTGACTATTCATGACAGTAGCTGGTTAAGAGGTGGTAGATTTTGATAAACTAATTATCCTTGTACTAATACTTTAAAATGATGGTGGTGTTTCAGTGAGATGGAATAGTCTGATAGCTGATATTTTTATATATTAAAATATAGCTGTTCCTATAATAGAAATTTTAAAATGAAATCATTGAAATCATTTTATTTCCCTTGTGTTTCTGATAATGCCAGAAGTTTCTATTGACTTATAGTTGGCACACAGTTTCTGTATTTACTTTGGTGCATATATATAGTTATCTGATGAATTTACAGCCCTTCCCTCTGTAGTTCTATGTGTATTAATAATCTCAAATAAAATGAAATAATCTTCTTATTCTGATAGAGAAGAAAAAGCTGGATCACTTACCAGTAACTGGAGTTCTCCTATTGGGTAATCTCCACAGATCCACATTCTTTGAAGTTATTGTGAATGCCTCGAGGACCAAGGAACCGTTGAAATTTCCAATTTCAGGAAGGTAAGCGAGCGCACTGAAGCATGTCTCTAGCATCTCCCAAATCCCCTTCCCCCAACTTTCTTACGTATACATCTGTACTGCATGCCCCCTCAGTTCCAGTGGATGCCCATCAGGACGATTCTCATGCTGGACAGAAGGGCAAGAGGTGGATCTGTGAGGGAAAAGACCCAATAGGATAACTCAAGTTGCTGGTAAGTAAGCTAGTTTTCAAAAACTTGAGATTTTTTTTGTACATTTCTTCTCTGTAGGAGTTCATTTAATTGCAAAAGAGAGGAACTGTTTTGGGATAGCTTATTTTTTGTAAGGTTGATGTGGATTATGGAGCTTATTGTATGGAAGATAAATACCTAGTTCTTAATGAGCATATGAATAAATGTGACAATAGTTTTAAAGTGTATCATTTACATAATAGTAGTTTATAAAAAGTGTATGTTTATCATCTTTTGTTAAATAGTGTAATAGTTCTAAAGCAATGTGAGGAAACTGTGTTGAATTATTTTGTTAATTCCTTTATTGTGTTGCTTTTATTGAAGTAGATACTTGTAATGTAAAATTAATGCTTGTGTCAAATTTGGCAAAATTCTTTTGACATGGTACTTGAACAGCAAGAATAGTTTTATGTAAATTGACTAACATTTTTTACTGACAGTTTCCAGTATACCTTTTAATTTCATTGAAGGTATATTTGGAAAATAATTCAGGGTATGTTGCAATTATATTTATCACTTCCTTGCTTATAATGGGTGGGCTTATTGATGTGAAGGGTGGCACAGTTGGTTCAGTGTGAGCTCTATGGTTCCTCAGATACCAACCTGATTTGTTTCTTAAATGTTAGAATTGGACATAGTTCCTTGTTTCTTCCCCCCTCCCCCACTCATTCTGCATCATTACCAGGTTACCATTTCTAAAAGGGCACTTTTAGCACATAAAGAGCCTGTAGTGATGCCCTGCTCTTTTATAAAATTTTCATCCATTTGCTGGATATGTAGGGCCTCTCGTAATCCAATCCCATCCTGTTTTTCCAGCCTTAATTTCTTCAAGTCGAAACTTTTGTCTTGGTCTTACCTGGATACTTCTCATATTTTTGCTTTGGCTTGTGCTTTTTCATTTTCTTGAAATGACTTTCCTTCCATTCTACTTTTCTGTACTTTAAGGTTGAGGTCAAGCCCTACCCTTCACATAAATCCTTTTATGTTAGCATCTCTCAGTTACCTTGCTTTCTTCAGTGGAAAAATTAGATTGCTATGAGGATTGAATTAATTAATTCATGGAATGTACTTAGATCAGTGCTTAGCGGCACATAGTAAACTCTCTTGTTAGCCATTGTGTGATTATAGATTGAGCTTAAATATTTCTGTGATTGTAGGTGTAATTCTTATCTCTATGACATAGTTTAGCTTTAAATATTAGCTTCAGATTGTATTGCTCTGTCTTCATATAAAATTCTTAAGCTGACTTGTATGGTCTTGGGAGCAAGGATAGGATTTTATTGTTTTTTTTTAATCTTTCTTCCTAATGTTAGTGACTACAATTAAATCATACCCCTGAAAAATTAGTTTTTCATGTAGATTCACAAATATACTTACCAGTATTTTCATTTATAGAACAGGTTTATTTGGCTAATCAATCCTGTTTGTACTGTATATTTTTTAAGCCATATTGTATATTTTTTCCTTTGAAGCTGGTATAGTGTAATTATAATTGTTTAGTACACTATAAGCTTCTATTGCACATTTTAAAAGAGTGTATAGTTTTGAGAGTTAGATTGTATTCACAAGACTGTGTAATATTGGACAGCAAATTGGAAGTTCAGCATGCTTGATTTTTCAGGTTTGAA